AGTTGCCCCCTGTTTTCGGCTGGCAACATTCACCATGAATAATGCGTGTTCAAGAATCAAGAATGCAAAGTGTGTCCCCGCCTTCGTCGAGCCATAAATTAAATTGGGTCTGTAAAACAAACCTTGATACAGCTGGTATTGAATGATTGCTCAAGACTTAAAGTGTTTCATCAATTGAAACTGCCTTTAATGATTGAACGTGGACCACGCAAAATATGAAGTACATTCACAAATTTGGCAAAGGGTGGCAAAAACACCAGGGTTATATTGACTTAAGGACATTGTTCTTGGGAATCAGCGAATGCGCCACTTCTTGTTAGGAATGATAAACACTTCTGACAATGCTGATCCCTCAAGGTGTTATAGCCTACCAACGCACCTGGCGACTGATACGAATTCCAGTGACCTCGTTTTTGAGGATAGTTCCTGAGTTTTGTGTTGCCCTTTATTTGAGCCTTATATGCATGGCAAAAGTTCGAGGGCAGGATTACTAACCAAATAATTTGATATTACACGTGAAAAAAAGCAGTTCGAGGGCGTTTCTTGCCAGTCTGCACAAAGAACGATGGAATGGATAGAGTTACCTTGAGAGGCCATGGTGCATACAGAAATCGTTCTTCAAATGACAGGAAATAGTTGCTGAAGCGAATGTTTCCCATAAATATCCCTGTACAGTAGAGAAACACAAATAGCAAGGATAATGATATCGTAATATTAATAAAAGCTTAATTTCATGTCGTCCACTTTTTTCATATCCTAATTTTCTCGCAGACCACAAGTAAGATGCTAGACGAAATTATACACATAATTCCCAAAACATGTGTGATTAGCAAAGTGCAGCAACGTAATAATGAAAAATATATCTAGCAGTAATGCGAGATGTACCAAACATTGCAGAGAGTCAAATACTTCCAGAGCAATTTCCTTAAGGTCCCTGGTATATATCGCAGAGAAACAAATGAATGCATAGTCAAAATATTGGAATGAAAAAGCATTCTGAAGAGTTATGAGGACTGTATCTTTACTGGCTAATAAAACAAGGCGAAAACATTCCTCCTTTAAGGACTGGGGTCGATCGTGGGGCGTATGCGAAAAAGGTCCTCATAGACGACGGGAACGTTTACTAGCAGCAGTTCTATCTTGCACAAGGAGCATGTCTTTTTGTGGAAGCTGTTAATGCTTGAAGTATTTCGATTACAAGGAATCGCTTCATGCATGTCTGAATCACCACCTACCAAGATTGAGGGATACAAAACAGCTATAGACATTAATAACTGCGCCTTTGGGGCTCTTCATGACGTGTGTACAAAGGTCAGAAATCTAAAAGGCATAGCTACAGGTGTCTGGACAGTTACAGTGTTGAACTTACACATAGAAATAACGCAGAATACGGTTAACTAAAATTCATCGTCTGAATACCATTACACACCATACTACAGCAAAAGTCATACATACCTCAAGATTACCGCATCTTTCCTTAAATGCACACATTCAACGATAATAAGCATAATCAGTATAATCGACAATAACGCAGATATTTGGACGGCAGTACGGTGGAAGTTGACAAAACGACATGCGCATTTCAACTCAACGCTGAGTGGCAAAAGAAGGAACTGCCCATTTCGAATGAGGGGATTGCGGAAGCAGCACACTGTTGCAATCGTAATTGCGCGAAATATTAAAATGTATATTGACAGTCTTTTCCGAGTGTATGAATACGTAGATCATTTGCATCTGACATTACTGCGTAGTATGCGAAGTTAGCAACAGCTCCATTTGGTGACTGGCCCTGCGCATTAATTATAGACAGCTAGCTTTGGAAAAAAGGCTTCTAGAAATTTCCATCAGCGATACGATACGCGGAACGAAGGGCGTTGCATTGGTTAAGGATATGAGGGAGATGGACGAGGTGCATTTTTGGATAAACACTCACTAGAGCAAAGACATTACGCGCCGCGCCCGTCTAAATGCTTAGCAGCCGGCTCTGCCGTCAGTCTCCTAAGGCAAGTGTGGCAAAAACGAACCGTAAACGCAGTCAGTCGTAATATCTCTTGTGAACCGCATGGTTCAAGCGGTCCACACACAGAAACGCTCAAAACGGTGCCTTGCCTTGGTGTCCACGCGTTGGTCTTCGACGAAGCGTGTGCCTTGCTGTAGCGCAGGAGGATAGTCGAGGCCCAACCTCGAAGGGACTCGGCGGAACGGTGAAGGCATGGCCAACCGACGAAGCACGTGAGAAGAAGGCAGCACTCGAGCGAGGACGACGCAACGCACACTTCTTTAATAGAAGCTACTTAAGTGACATCAGCGACTTGCTTCAGACGCAGGCGCGTCTTCTTTACGTGACGCGGAGAAAATATTTAAAAACTGGTCTTCATATGCAAATGAATAGAAAAGCTATTTATTTGTTCAATGTAAAGTGTTTATTGTCGAGGTGGTTCTAACAGCCGTTGCCGTAAATCGCCGCGCGGCAAATCGCTTCCTCACTCAGTCGCTACTGTCAAACACATGATTCGGTTTAAGCAGCACCCTCACTCCGTCCCTCTCCCCCCTCCCAACGTACACAAACATCCTCAACGACAGCACGGGCATCGATGTCGTGTGTGACATCTACTAGATCCTCATGATCTTCCAGATCATCATACCATGCGTTGCCTTCTGCTTGCGGAGAAGAGAACGTTTCACTATGCCCGTCTATGAATTACGCGAAGTTTGTGGTATACTTAGTGTTTTGCCCGAAGTTATTTTCGTTCCTTTTTTCAACCACCAGTTTTCTCTTGAGCATGCTTAGCACCTAGGCTCCTTTGAGCGCCAAAAGATTCATACTATCTACAGTAGCACACGAGTCTTGGGTCCTACTTGACGTGCTTGGAATCGAGGCCGAGAGACGACGCTGCAAAGACGACATACGACATCACACGATCAAAAACTAAACATCATGTCGTCTAGATTATGTTATCGATCCTTTCCACCGTAGGAACAGAGGATAACAACTGACACCTAGTTGCTGCTGCTGTTTTTGTCATCGTCGTCTAGGATATCAGGACCGAGTACTCAGATTTAATAATGTCTGACGCTTTGGCTTCTGCGGAAGGAACTTCGTGACAACGACCTCTTTCGGGCGTTCAGTACACTTTATTAAATTATTATTGCTCGTCTTTACATGGAGTCACCATTAAGCAGATAGCTACCATCTGCCATAGCAACAATTTGACTCGCGACTTAGATATCGTACCTCTATCATGTGTACCCAGGGCACAACGCCTTATCTTCAACGACTGACTGATTTACGCACCTGAGGCGGCTCTTGCCTTTGTATAATTTTGACATATGAACGGGAGACATATGTCACGTCGTTTTCCTAGGGGTTCATTTGCGTCAAAAAGGATCCATGTCACGTCGAGGAAGGGCGAGTCAGATCAAGATTACGATAATGAACATATCGCCTGAGAAACAGCCGAAAATCACACGGGAAAAAACGGTACGTCTAAGTTTCGGTGAGAAAGCATGGCGGAGACAGTGTAGGGATCATCGTTCAAATTAGAGGACAAAGTTAATGAATAATTATGGTTATCGGACCCATGCGTGTCACACGCTCACTTGAACAAAGCCTCCTAGACGCAGCTCTTC